GATTGCTGCTATAAATCTGGGGATTTTTATAACCTGAGCACTTCCCAGAATCATTACACATGATCTCATTATCAGATTGAAACAGAAGGATAACTACAATGTCAGCTGAGTTCTGGACAAGGTCGTAATCTGAAAAATTTGAATCTGTAAAAGACTTTTACCCCTCACTTTCTTTAACTGAGATGTTTCGACTTATAATTCCACATATACAGTATTTTCTCTGCAATATCCTTTTACCACAGCACAGCTTTACTGGATAAGGGCCTCACATGTTGAGGGAGAGTAGTGTAACCTGGTAAATTACTTGATGAACGTTGAAATGTAGTTTAGGGTGTCACCTTTAAACTGAATGTAGCCTGTAAGCATATGACAATAAGCCATTTGAAGATGTAAAATGGATGATTGTATTGTAATTAATGCATTTAAATTGTAATTTAATAGGTAAAAAATTGTAACTTAGTGTAATAGTAACTGTTAAATGTAAATTGCTCACGTAACACAGTAAAAATAAGTATATTGCTCATTAGAGAAAAACTGAATTTATTGTGCAATCGTATACTGCACTGAGCAATCCATAGAGCTAATGAATGAATCAACTTATTCTACATTCGCCGCCATGAGGGTCATTTAAAAATCTGGATCGCACAGATGAAAACAATCGTGACAACATGCACTAAATTCAGACATAGATGTGGTATTGTGAGATAATTCAATATGAAGGACGCAGGAGGACAAAGATCAAGCTGTGCTCACAACACAGGGTGAGGCTGAAATGAGTATCTCTCAGAAAAATCCTAAAAGCATGAAAAAGGGAAATGTGATTCATGGTTGAAGTGTTGTAAAGGCTCTGGTTCCTTTCTGCATGTTTTGTTTTCAGTCAACTTGCCTGTCAGCACTTTAACGTGTCTCCATCTGTTACCACCAGATGGAGACAAAGCTACACGTTACATTCTTTTTTAATTTGAGGAGAGGTGGATATGATCTCATTCCAAACAGAACATTAGAAATGTCATAAGAGGAATTGTAATGTGAAGTTAGATACTGTCTTTCAATCTTTTAAAAGTAATTACACTATTGTTTGTAATACAGCAGCTCAGTGAGTGTGACTGGGTGTGTTTGCAGTGTAGCTCAGCGAGAGTGATAAAACGATAGAACAAGTGTCTTCTCTCTTCCCTCCGTGTTTTTGTATTTTTTATGTGACTGTGTTTGTGTGTCGCTGCCTTGTCCCTGTACGCTGCTGCTGCTGCTGTTGTCGTCCCCTGTTGGGCTGAGCCTCGCAGCTGGCAGTGCTCATGAATCACTCCTTATCGGGGTCCTCGACTGTCGGGAGGTGCAGTGACTCAAAAGGCGCCCGAACGGCCTTGAATCACCCACTAGTTAAATCTGGCCCGTATAGGCTGAGAGAGGCTGAGAGAGGCCGGTCGCGCTCGGCGGCGTGGCGTGCTGCTTTAAAAGTCAGATCTGCCGATACACACTGTGCACCTACATCTGAGCCAGGGCTCATTGGCACTGGAGGCAATTAAGTTCACCCATGCAAGTCAATTCAATTATGCATCTGTGATGAGCCCTGAAATACCACAGAGTCAGAAGACGTATGGTGTGGCCTCACACTGGGCCTCACTGAAGTCCTGGAAGTCTGAGGTTGAAATATCAAGAGAATATTCCAGACTCAATAACTTTATTGTCTTTGTGCAAGCACAACGAAATGACAGAGAGGCTCATCCTCAAATCAAATTGTGCCGGTTATAAAGACTAACAAAGCAAAACACACTGATATAAAGAAATAAGAAACTATATGATAGAAATATAAACACAAGCGAAGTAAGGATTCAAAGAATTTCAATTAATTAGATGTAAACACTAGTTGAGGCAAAGAGCATATAGTAGCAGTAAAGTGGCTGATACAGATAAAGGTTATCAATCATATGAATATTGCACAGTGCACTATTGCAGTAAGTAAATGCTCTTCAGTGAGTCAGTGTGTATAATCCCCTGATTTGTCAGTGTAGAAGGAGCCCTTCATATTTACGATGGGAGCAGTCCTGTTCTAACCAGACTGTAGGTAGAGATGGACGACACATCAAAAATGAAGCCAAAATATGCACAATACACCGGCTGCCATCTTGCACTTCATATTTTGGAGCCAGAATCTGCACTTCAGTTTGTTTTGTGGAGCTGCAGTGTTGAGGTCCCATCGACCAGTTCCGAGTTAGTCTCAGCTGTCATGACATCTCACCTTGCTGTTGTAGAAGCAAATAACTATTTAAAACCAAACTTACCACAGAGAGGAACACTTGAACATACGTCAGTGTGATAAGAACTAATTTAGCACCTTGACTTTTTAGGTTGGGACATGTCCCATCTGCTAACATGGAGACTTCTGGGTTTATGACCTAAACCCAAATATAAGTATAAATATATGTATATGCAGTTTATATATTTAAACCTACAACTGGAGGTGCATCCATTGTAACTTAAACTCAGCAAAGATCCTCATCTCAACAGGAAGCTCAACATCTTTGTTTTAATGTGTGATGCAGAGAAAAACGAGAAGTGAGCAAGCTGAGACTGAACAGCATGTAGAACTGTTGGAGAGTCAACCAGCCAGACTGTAATAGCAAAATAAATGGAGCATTCTGCTTCGCTATCTTCCTGACTTGTGGGTGTACACACACACACACACCCACACACACCCACACACACACACACACACACACACACACACACACACACACACACACACACACACACACACACAATGAACTCTCTGAGGTGCTATAACTCAAAGGGACGCTGACTGAGAGAAAAACAGAGTTTTTCGAGGGAAGATGGCCGCTCCTGGCAGCACATCACAGCTCGCAGGGAGACAAAGCAAATTGAGAGCCTTGAAATGTGTGTGTGTGAGCAATATGTAAAGTAGTTGAAAAAAGGGGTGTATCGCCAAGCTCACTCTTAATTAACACTCAATTGAGTAACCTTGAAGCGTTTGATGGGGGGGGGTCAGCGCATCAGGACCTTACCATGGAGTCCAACGTAAAAATGGTTGTATAACGTCTCCTTCAGAGGGAGTGTTTTAGTTCTGATGCTGGGCCCACAATCACTCCCTATGTAGTGCAAAACATTAATCCTCATTTTATTTGTGTGGCCAAATTGTGTGTGTATCTACTACAATAATCTCTTTATGAATTCTACAGTGGAATAAAATCATTGTCCATGGACCCAGCCTGAGATGATGTCATAGTCATGTAGGACATGGAGTCTGACAAACATGCATGACCTGGACAGGAAGAGGTTAAACTGGGAGACTCTTGATGGACTGCTTTGACCTTCAGGTTGAGGCTCACGTGAGCGATGGGAGAAGCCAAGATAGTTCTACTGCTGCTGTGCTTATCTGCTGTCATCTTGACTAACAGCTGATCACTGCTGGCTGTGCAAGCTGCTACACAGTGTTATCCTGTGGTTTAAACTGGCTGTTATACAATATGTGGGGGGGGGGTTGTCCCCCAATTATGAAGACATTAAGGTGTGTTGTATTGTATTAGTATACATCTGTGAGACACTGACAGATTCTTCAGATGTAGTCTGATGTGGTTGAGTGAGTATTCATGACGTTTAACTTTGGATTGAGGTTAACTTTCTATAAATCTGCTTCTCCATTTAGCAGGATTAAGCTCAAACTACTGGACAGGAAACCACCAAACAGGTAGAAGATAGAACCCGTTCAATTTTCATGTGGATCTGGATCATGTGTCGGATTCTGAATTTTTTTTTCACTTTCTTTAACATTGGGAGATGAGACATTTTTCTACATTTCTACAATTCATGAATTTTGATGAATGGACAGATTTTTATGAGTGTCTGCAATTTGGTGCTTATACAAAATCTGGATCTAGTGAATTTAAATGTGGTTTCATCAGGTGTTAGGCCAGGGCAGAGTTATGCAGCCTTCTAATTGTGGTAGTAATAATTTACATCTGAGACAGATTTCAAAGCGATGCCTCAATGTTGTCAAAATCTGTTAAACAAGACAATTCTCTCGATAACTTTGGTTTATATTTTACTCTAACCAGGAACTGGACATCAAGATATCATGATCTTGGCTGGTTAAACTTTGAAATTTAAAACTTGAAAATCTGTAACTTTTTCCTCCAACTTTATGAATGGGAAACTCTTAATTTTTTAAAAAACTATTTGACCCAGATCTGAATGATGGTGGTAATAACACACATTAAAATGTTAGGAGTAGATTCCTCACTGGAACCAGGGTTTTTAAATAGATAATGACTTTGAAAGATATTGTGCAGTTACATTATACATACCATATTTCATCACTGTGTTATTTTTCAGATCTCTCAATAATTTATATCTATATAATCCTGTTTCATCACATACTCACCAGTAGCAGAAAAATCTGACATCATATTCAAAGCGAGGCACTAAAAGCACCAACTGAGCAACAACAAGCCAACAGTGGCGTGATAAACATTGTCTTCATGACGACCGCCGACAGAGGACAAGCTTGTGTGAGTATCCGCGTCTCTGAATCAATCTCATTCTCAGCCAGGGAGATATTTCTCCATAATTTGATTCGGAGCCTGAACAGTGTATTAAAAAAACACCACAGGTCACAAATGTTTGAATAATTTCTCTAATCAAGCAGAACACGCATCATGAAACACAAAGCCAGCATCTGTCTGCCGACAGCAGACCCAGAGTGTGTGAAGGATTATTTTCTGTTGACGATGACATAGTGACTACTGACTTGTTGAAATTGGTCCAGAAAAGACAAGAACTTCTGGGTTGACGAAGTGACACCTCAAAGTGCTATTTAATCTTCATTCCACTTTAAAGGGCATGTGTCCGGAGCGGGACAGTCCGCCATTGATCTGTGTGACTGTGTGATCTGTGTGATCTTCATGTTCGCTGGGCTCGCATGTTAGAGGGTTGATGCGGGTTTCAACCACCACTGATGCCCGTGTCCTTGTCATGCTCCCTTTTAGGTCGATACCTGCGCCTGAAAATGTTCCGCGAGGATCATGGCTCCTGGATGACTATGTTCTTCAGCACCATCCTCTTCCTCTTCATCTTCTCGCACATCTACAACCTTTTCCTGCTGATGGCTGGGAGCATGGAGTAAGCCATTCAATCTCTTTCTCTCTCTGTTCCTTTTCCCTCATTCTCCACTCACCATTTGTTAGACCTTGTGCGCTCCGCCTTTGGCTGGAGTGATTGATCTAAACGTCTCGCCTCACCAGAGACCCGATACGGGTCTGATTAATCAGCCCAGACTTTAAATCACAGGTAGGAGCAGACGAAGGGTTAATCCTGAAAGATCACCTTCAGCGCCCACACTTATTCTCTCATGATCTTTACTTATTTTCTGACACTTCTCTGGCTGCGAACCAAGATGCTTTCGTTCACGTCTCTCTGTTTGTAAACTCGTTTTTTTTTTTGCTCCTGTTGCACAGACTTACTTGTTAAGAAACCACTGTGCATGGCAGAGCTTGACACCCACACATCAGGCCGGTGACAGGAATCCATTTATGCATTTACAATGTGTTCGTCTAGAGGAAGGAAAACATGCCCTTGAAGCACAGGCAGCCACACATGAGGTTGCTGCAAGGTGATTTAGCATTTTGTTCGAAAAAACGGTGTGGCAGATGTCTATTTAGGAAAAAGCTGTCAAGATGGAGGTCAGGGGCCATAACGGGATCTGTCTATACCATGCTCCTCTTCAGTATTAACAACAAGAACCAACTATATCTAGAGGGTGAAGGCAGATGAAGGCTATTAGCGAGCAGGCAAGGTGTTGTGGTTCACAACGGCCCAAGGGATGGGGTTTGTATAATCAGTCCATCTGTCACTCTGGCCCAGTGCGGTGACAACGGCATCCATCTTGTCTGTTCTTCTCCGGTCGGCCGAGGGAAAAAATAAAAAAGCGGGAAGAGAACAGCTGAGCGGAGGAGCAGGTCCGCTGAGATGATGGATATCGCTTGCTCAGGGAAAAGTTATATTTGCAGTCACACTGAGTGCATCTGTCACAAAGAGGGTTCCTTTCCTTTTTCCACTGCTTCTTGTTTCGGCCTTGAAACGTGGAGGGAAGGGATCCCTTTGTAGACGGGCCGTGCGTCTCACGAGATGAGGATAAGAGAAAATAATGAGTCACAGACATATAATGTGATTTATGTCGAACATGCGCAAATCTCCATTTATAATGGCTACATCGGTTGTTCATATATAAAAACATAACAGCTTGTTAAACAGTTACAGCACCATTAAAACCCATCCATGATGCGATGCAAGGCTCTCCTTTCAAAGACAGAGGGCGCTGTTGTAAAGAGAGTGAATCTAACCCTGCTCAGACACCTGGTCATGTCCTGCACTCATCAACCCTCCGCCCTCCTTCCCTGTCCCTCTCTCCCACTTGTTTTCTTTCTGCTCCAACAGTGTGTCCACTAAGGACCCGGGCCCTGCCAAAAACCATTAGTGTTCACATCTCAGTTCAAGTCCGACGTGTAAGAGCAGTGTTCACACTCTGCCAAGGATGGCCCCCGCTTCGGAAGACGAGCTCCAGGGCTGCGAGAGCATGAATTCAGCAGAGTGCAGGGAGTGGTGACGGAGGCTGGGAGGGAAGGAGGGAGGGAGGGACGAAGGAGAAGTACTCCAGCCCTGATGATGCAGTGAAACAGTCTGTACATGTCCAAACTCTTGCATATACCTCTACCTCCCTCCCCTCTCTCCAACAACGACCCCTCACCCCCAGTGAAACTGTTGTACTGAATTCTCTTTTTACCACAGCACAAAGGAAAACTACAATATCCCTTTGTGGCTGCAGCAGGCCCCCCCTTGTGGGAATTAATGGTGTTTTTTTCTTTTCATTTGTGCTGAAAGAACAAGCCGCTGTGGAGTATTATTACTGCAATGTTTTTTTAAAGGGGAGGTATTTGGGCATTGGGTTTCCCCGGCTTTGACATCTTGCCACGATGGTGCACTGCGGGGATGCTCTTCTGGTGGCTACACACACACACACACACACACACACACCCACACACACACACACACACACACACACACACACACACACACACACACACACACACACTCACACATACAAACATACACACACATATTGTTCACGTCCCACACTTTGCTAAAGTTAACTGTCAGAGCATGTGTGTGTGTATTGTGTGTGTGTGTTTGGCATAGTGGGATCGGAGGAGGGGGTCTGGCGTCTGTTTCCCTGCTGTCTCCCTGACCTGATGCTGTGGGCCGCCCGTGCCCCCTGCTCATTAATATGCTTTAATTTTCTTCGACCTTTCAGTCAGTCTTGAGCTTGATTTAATTAAAGCTACATCCACGAGGAAAGGAGATAAACGGCACCATCAGGACAGTAAACAATCACTGATAAGGGAGCGTGTGTATCTTTTTGGATGATAATTATTTACTCATGATTAGTCATGTAAAATCGGCCCATCAGAGCCATTATCTCTCGGCTCAAAGAGATTTCAACAGTGCGTAATCTTACGCGAGTCTAACAGTGTGTTAGCCAATATTTAAACAGCCACTTCCAGGTCAACAGCTATCAACCTGTTACCTGGCTTATGTCATATCAGGGGGAGGAAAAAAAAAAAGCCCCGTCCATTGTGGCTCCCTGGGAGCTGTAATCCACACTTGTTACCAAACCCTCACATCTGGGCTATTTGCATTTTAATGTAACTGTCAGATTAAGAGGGGGGCTGTTTGTGTGAAACCAGGGGAGTGTGACCGCCCAGGGATTTTGACGGGTTTCATGAATGTTCTGTCACGCCACACAATCCCATTCCGCCATCTTACGGGGCCATTACCAGCCAAAATCAGCCCCTAATTAGGTGGTGTTATTTAATTAAGACGGCCCAACGCACGGCGTACACATTAATCTCGACTAATTTAGAGAAAGGGGGTGGTAAAGTAGTGTGAAGGTGCACAGAGGTGGGGAGCACGTGCAGATCTAATGAGGAACTGAGGTGGAACAGGGACCGTAAAGGTATAAAATAATGTCTATAACTTCTTGTGTCTGTCTGTAGAGGAATAAATTGATGGATGTCGGGATGAGGTGGGAACAGGAGCATGAGGCAGAGAGTGGAGGGGTAGTATTCACTAAGAGGATCTATAATGAGGAACAGGCAGGGGTGGATTTGGCATTTTACTACAACGATACCCTGGGCGGGATCAGAACCCATCGTGTTAGGGTATTTATCTTTGTTTTCCATGATCCTTTGTGCCGAGTGCGCGCTAGTCCCACTTGTCTGTCTGTTTGCTTGTCTGGCACTAAGCTGCAGTAATTCCATGGACAAGTGGATTTAAAGGGCTGAGTAAATAGCATGTTATGGTATGTAGATGCCTCCTGTTGCATACAAGCAGCCCTGGCAAGCACTGTCTAATGATTCAGTGTTTGCTCAACACTTAAATGTACGATGAACAAAGTGTTTGTTAGCTATATTCATGCTGAGTGGATGGTAACAGAAAGACGTAGGTAATTAAAGAGGTGATAGAACTACAGCAGCTTAATTCAATTAGAAAAGGAGGTTGCAGAGTTGATGGCGGTGACTAGATCATCACTGACTGACTAACAGTTTCAAACACCACAAGACACATTATGTCTATAACTCATGCATTCAGCAGTTTATACACAGAGTTAACTCACTGGGTCTTCAACACAGACACACGAGTCGTATGGCTTCGAAAATCAAACTTCTTGATTATCATACGTTGTCATTATCTCAAATTATCATTATATTAAAGACTTTATTGACATTGTCAAATTGGGACCGGAATCATAAACACACAAATTCAGCAGCACAACGGATTCACAAGGAAATCACCTTTAATATTCTGCAGCGCCTTAACAAGAAATTATATCTCCACCAAGGAGGTTATGTTTTCACCCATGAAAGGATTTCCCTTAAATTTGGTGAAATGATGATACATGGGCCACGAAATAACTCATTTTGACACTGATCCAGACAAAGGGGCGGATCCAGGATTTTCTTTTTTTAATTCATACATTTTTTTATTTATTACCAATTTCCCAGTGAATCCTTTTTTAAAGGGTTTGTGATGCGATGAGCTAACACGGTTTGATTATTGTCAAAAACTGTATCAACTACTTCAATAAATGATCAATAATTCTCGTGAAATAATCCTGAACATTCTGTGGTTCTCCCTTCTCAGTTGTGTCATTTCATGGTTTCCTTTGCTATATGTGACAGATACTTAGCTTTATACTTGACTACCAGACTGTTATGATGTCCAATTTTCACTATTTTCTGGTATTTTGTTGGATAACACTACAATAAAATGACTCATTAATGCGACCCTACTTTAAATAATAATTAGGTATTGTTGTGTTTATATATATACATTTTTTGTCAGTTTTGTCTATGTGATGATGGAGATGACACTAAAAGTCCTGAAGACGGTGCATTCCTCGCTATACTTCTCTCGTTCTCTTCACAAACCCACACCTACTGTCCAAGCATATCTCCTGCTGTCTTTCACACTCTCACATGTGAACATTGCGTTGGTTCCTCCGAATTGACTCACTATGTATTCAATGAGTGTTTAGATAGAAAGTGTAAAGCTCTCCCTGAAGTCATTTTCTGTCTATTGTCAGAACATCTCTGACACAGACTGTGTGCAGCAGCAGCAGGGTCAGTAGTTTCATCTCTGATTATACTATCCTGCGTTTTTCTGAGAAAGAGGGGCGGAGTGTCAGCGGCGGCGATGGCCCTCCGCATACGTCACTGTCACATAAAGAGGAGGAGCAGCAGCAGTTGTAAACAATAAACATCATAACCTTGACAGCGGCACGTGTCCACTGGGAATACACACTGTGTGTATTAAAGTGTGTGTGTACTGAATGTTGTCGGAGCAGGACAGATGGATTGTCCATGCATGTGTGCATGTTTGTGGGCGGTTCCACAAAACTACTCTCCACTCAGTCATGTGATCTCTTCCTTATGTTTCACTACAACAATTAATATCTCTGATAATATTTCACTTCCATCGTTTGAAAGCTTAAGATTTTCAATGTTTTGTTCCCTTGTTGCATTCATTTACATGTTTTTTGGGGTTATTAGACATCATCTTCTTCA